GTCTGGGTGCCAACTCCCAACATCCTTAACCCTGCAAGTGTAATTATTGCAGTTTTTACAAACTGCAATAATTACCTTGCAGAGTTAAGTCCTCCTCTAGTGGCTACTTATCATCCAGCCACTAGAGGGACTTCTGTGTTCTTAGAACACGAAAAGTGTGTTATACGACGCTGGACGTCCTCACGCTATGCGAGGACCTCCAGCATCGCCAAAATCCCCATAGGAAAGCATTGAATAATGCTTTCATTTGGGGAGGCCTAATGCACGTGTGCGGCCATTGCCGCACATGCACATTAGGTCTCCCCCAATGGCTGGGGCGGGGGAGTAGGCAAAGCCTGATCCAGCACCGAGGGACGTCGTCGCTGGACTCCGGCAAGTCAATGAAGGGGTTTCCTGGGTCAGTACTGCACAGTGAGCAGCACTACCACATTCAGTGTCTCCACCCTCTGCATGCAGAAACTGAACTTTCCTCATAGAGATGCATTGATTCAATGTATCTCTATAAAAAGATACTGACTGACCAGGGCTGGCTCTGCCCCTGATCTACTGTACTTCCTTGACAGTCAAAGCCAATCCTATGGGAAAGCATTGTGACTGGCTCAGACCACCACTTCTGCTGATGTCAGCAGACAGCTTCAGAGACAGACCCAACAGACTTGAATTCGAGTAATCTTTTAAGGAGGCAAGAGGTGGCCAAATAGTGGTTGTAACACTACAGGGTCAGGAATACAGGTTTGTGTTCCTGACACTATAGTGTTCCTTTGGATATAGTCTGCTAAATCACATAACTTCACTTTGCAAAAAAATTGCAAATACAGTTTATCAGACTTCTATGAGACGTCCATGTATGTTTTTCTTAATTCCAATAAAACAGAATGTGGGGAAAAAAAAAATAGGTTTAAGAACAAAATCAACTATACCAGGACTCAAAATAGTTTTATGCTACTAGACAGGCTCAAACCTTATACTCACCACTGCAAGCCTGGAGGGTTCACTGCACACTTAGTAGGGGTGAATTTCAACTTGCCAGAGCTGAATTATCATTTACCAGTGGCTAGTTGAAATTTTGAGCTCTGTTTAGATAATGCCTGGTGTACGCAACAAGGGATAAGTCCGTGTTTTACATAAAACCTCAAGGAATGCTAAACTATGCATTTCAAATGACCAAAGAACAGACTTGTGTTCTATAAAAAAAAAAAAAAATCATATTATAACTAAATGAACACCACTACCAAATTGCTTGTCACTATTAAAAAAAATTATATATATATATATATTTTTTTTTTTTTTTTTTAATAGTTCATTTATTCCTGGCAACATAACTTCCTTTAGATCTTGCCATAGTGCCCTAATGTAACTAAATCGTATCTTTAATTCAACAGAGTTTTTTTTTTTGCACTGTTAATGGACATATTTCTTAAGTGGGCTTATTTTATAACTCCACCAAAATAAAAAATAAAAAAAAATAACCTAAGCCAAGGAACAGAGAATAAAAATACCCAGACACTTTATCTTTATCTACAAACCCCCAGCTGCCTGGCAGCCTCTCAGAGCCTGATGGGATTGGTAGTTCTAGTTGTGATGAAGGGGTGCAGTATGAGTAGTATAGCAGGGTACATGTATGAGGGGAGGGGTGGCCATTATAAAGCCATGTTGGACCAGCTCAAACCGCCCAGATCCGCCTGGAGAGGAAGCAATGGAGGAGCAGAAATGGGTAAGGGGTGTTTCCCCTCCCCCACCCCGAACCCACACAGGCCCCTCCAGCACTCACACAGAGGGAGCATGAGTAGGCCGTAGCCGGCTGTGGTGGGCCACGTTTCCCGTGATGCTCCTCGGCCAGGCGGCTGGATGAGCTCCCAGGGAGAGGTGGTCTGTGGAGGCTGTGGTTCCCACGGTTACCCGCGGCCGGCCCTGTCATACTCACGCCTCCGTATCCGGGGAAGGCCATGCTGCGAGTGTGGCTGGGGCACAGTAACGGGGGTCCTGTCTGAGGGGGATGCGCCTTCGGTGTGATCCTCCGCGGCGTCTGACGCGCAAACTCCAATCTCAGGAAGTGTAACGGGACCAGAGCGCTACGTCAACGCTCGCTTCCTATTGGCCGGCCAACTCCCAGGGGCGGGGCCGGGCGCGCCTTTCCCCTCTCCGTGTAAGCCACGCCCAGTTATCCTTACGTCACGGCCGTCGCTTCCAGTTCCAACCGCCGCTGCTGCTGCCCTCCCAGTTGTAGAAGAATGCGAGCTGCTCGCACTGCCATTGGCCGTCGGGGAGCAGTCACGTGACGCCTCGCTGTAACCCCCGGAGTGCTGGCGCTGTGATTGACGTGTTGTGCTGTTGCTAGGTTACGGCAGTCTCTGTGCGTGGAAAGGGATGGGTTGTTTTTTTGTTTGTTTTTTTTGATGACTAAATGCCTTCCACCAAAACCTGTTCTCATTCAAAAAAAAAAAAGGGATTATTACTGACTCCAGGTGTCAGAGGGTTAAAAACAATCATTATATAGGGCATTCTCTCACAGCTTTGTTCACCCTGCAGATCAAAAATAAATAAATAAATCACAAAATAAGAAATTAGATACATGTTATTTCTATAAAATGTTGAAAATAAATAAAATGTAAAATGACTGTGGCTTCTACTTTTTTTTTTGTGTTTTTTATTTTTTTTTTCCTTTTCGTTCTTTTTTTCGTTACTTGGTGGCAACGAGAGACAAAACCCGCCCTGATCAACGAAGGCAAGAAAATAAAATAATTATTTTTGTTAATTAAAACAGAAAATGTGAACCATATTTACCGTTATTTTCTATTCCCCGGTATAGGCCATCATGGCAGCACTACGTAAGGGTATAGATCCTCCCACTACTGAATTGGTCTGGAACACCTCTCAATTAAATAATAAAAGGAACGCGTTCCTATACAAGGCCATGTTTAGTGCCCAAGCCACAGAACTATGAAATTTTAGAAAATTGGGTGGGAGGGGCCAGTGCTGCCGTGAGCGATATTCGGGAAAATAAAATATAGGTAAGTATGATTTAAATATCCTTTTTTTCCCCAGATGTATCCACGACAGCGCTACACATAGGTAAGACCCAAACCGATGTCTCGATCAAAAGCCAGTTTATTTTCCAATAGAGCAGAGACTTGAACGCCTAGCGAACTAAGGCTCATACCTTTATCAAACTGAAGGAACTTGGTGGTTATAACAGATTACCCAGATTCGATAGTAGGCAGAAGAAGTAGACTGCCTCCAAGCCCAGAGAAAGGTTTCGATGAATGGTTGAAAGAAACCCCTCTTTAGTAGGTGTTGCCTCTCAATTTTCATACCATCAACTTCAAAGAATGAGGTGCTGGATTGAATACGGAACTTCTATGTAACACATGATGACAGCTCCAACAGAGGTTCCCGGTATAGCTTCATCAGGAGATGAAATCATGAGCGTCTGGACCAGTGTGGGATGACCGCTAGATTTACCGCCTGTTCCCATTTAATACTCTTCAATTAAAGAAATATGATTATAACTAAAGGGTACATATAACCAAGATTGAACTTTCACTTGCAGAACATGGCATCCGAGTCCTGTGACAAAGGGGCAAAAGTCTGATGGATCCAAGGTCACTCAAAAGCTGCGCTTCCCGGGCCGGTGCGCCCTAGGCGACTGCCTAAGTCGCCTATAGGACGCACCGGCCCTGCAGACACACACAAACTGACACATGCAGATACACACTCTAACCCATACAAACACACACTGATACGGACAGATCCATAGACACACATTGACCCATACAGATACACACTCTAACCCATATAGACACACACTGATCCATACAGACACAGACAAATCCATAGACACACACTGACCCATACAGACACAGACAGATCCGTAAACACACACTGACCCATACAGACACAGACAGATCCATAAACACACACTGACCCATACAGATACATACTTGTCACGTCCTGTTCCTGCTGCGGATCATTTCTGGCTATGGCTTTTGGTATCCAATACTCTTTTTACAATTCTTGTTTAGTTTTTCTGGTTTTCTATTCCATGTCTGGTTTTCTTTATGCTGGGTTTTCTGGGTTCATTCTTGTATTCCGTTCTTGGAATTCCCAGTCTCTTGGATTCCTTTAAATGTTTGGTTTTTGTTGCCACACCCATTCCTTTCCCATTTATCCTTTTGTTTCAGTTGGTTCCTGCAGGCAGTTGCTACAAGTCATCTGCCCTTTTCTAGCAGGTAAGTGCTGTGTGTGTTTTAATATTATTTATTTAGTCATGCATATCTAGGTCGATAGGACCCACCATAATTGGAGGACTTTGACGCAGTTGGTGGGCTGCATACATCTTGGCCATTTATGTATGTCTAAATCTCCAATGTTTTACAAATATAATACTAAGTTATGTCTCCTCTTGTTTTGCCTTATATATATATATCTTGTTTTGTTTTGTATTCCCAGTCCATGTACAGTCCTGTCCTGCCCTGTTCATGTTTCCCTCATGTCTTGTGTACATGTTCTGGGTTTTGCTTTCTATCCTTCTCTGGTTCTGGGTTCTACTAGTCTTGTCTTGTCTTATCTTGTTTGGTGCCTGTTCTAGTCTTTCCTTGTTTCTAGTACTGGATACATACCTGCTGCTGAGCCTCCCTATCCAGATCAGGGAGGTCTGCATATTTTCTCCTAGTTCCTGGGATCCGCAGAAGCTGCATCAGGGCCCTGGTATGTGGCTGTACAAACCCTGGTGCTCAGCACCAGGGGTCGTGTGGTTACCCTGCACCCAGGCCCTGATTGTTCATTTCCATGATGTTTACTCCGATCATCATCAGGCACACAGGGTCCTGGTTTCCGTACCGCCACCCATAACATATGGCCGGAGGCAAAACATGGAGTTTGTGGAGTGGACTTTGCAGCTTTCCTCCTGCCACAGGTTTTCTGGTTGGAAGAGTTTCTGTAGATGGACCAGTGTGCTGGAGATGGCTTCCTCGTTCCTGTTCAGTTAGTCTGATTCATGTTTTGGAGGAGGTCGATCTGCCAAGTGGTTTGGTGGTCTCTACAGGTGCCCTCTTGCCGCATTTGGTTCCTGGCTTACTTCCATTACAGGAGACCTCTCTGGTGGGGGATGTTTGTTCATTTCCACGAGGTTTACTCCAATCATCATATGGCACACAGGGATCCCGGTTTCCGTACCGCCACCCGTGACAATACTGACCCATACAGATACACACTGACCCTACAGACACACACTGACCCATACAGACACAGACAGATCCATACAGACACATATTCCATGAAACACATACATTAACCCTCTTAATTTAATTTCACATATCAGTGCTGTTCATGTGTTTTAAGCATCTTCAGTGTGCCTAGTTGCCTGGTGGTGGATCATTTTCCCTGTCTTAGCCCCACTGCTATGCTCCTGCCCATTTCTCCTCACTTACAGGACAAGGGGGAGAGCGAGTTAATAATGCGCCCTTGTGCTGCTGCTGCAATGGATGTCTGACAGGGGGCCAGGCATTGCGAGCTGACGTGAATCATGGATGGCGCTGGACCAGTTTTCTACCGGGCGCTAGTCAGCAGCCATGTAAGTGCTCCTTAGTGCCCGGTAACATGGCCGGCGGGCGCTCTAAATAATTAATACAGCTCGATAGGGGGGCGGCTAAACGAGCTGTATAGCCACTACCGGTGCCTAGGCGGCTGCCTAATTGGCCTATAGGAAGAGCCAGCCCTGATTGTCCTAGTGCCCCATTGTATGTAATACTTTGCTCCTGCTATGCTGTCTAGGAACAGTTAACCTGGTGTCTACAAAAGGTGGGATCCAGGGAATAAACCCAGGATAGAAACTAGATCCTAAAATCAGTACTATCCCACCAGATCCCGGCCAATTGGAAGGTAGAAGGTAGTGACATCCTTACTATATGTCACCATGAGTGACCTCTCCTTATTAAGGTTGTTTTTTTAATTCAGATCACTCAGTGCGGGGATGTGGCGTTTGGTACACCATCTGCAAAGCATTTTTTTTTTTTTTTTTGTACAACTATGAAGACTTGAGCATGCAAAAGAATCCACCGTATTAGCAAAGATAAAAACATACCTAATGAATTGGTAAAAAAATAAATAAAACAAACTATCATGTTTGTATTGGTGACAGGAGTGTTCCTTTTTTATTTTACTTGTGGTGTTCCTTAACAAATAACTCACAAGTTGGTTTTAAGTTGATAGCATTTCACACATTGGCTGCGTTACAAGCTGTAAAATTGTCAATAGAATTTGAATGATGATCACTTTGAAAACTGTTTAGTGATTTTGGCCAAACGTCAGATAATATAATTGATCAACTACCGATTTTAGATTGTGATATACTACACTATCCTCAATTTGTTTAAGCGCATTGCTGCCAAATTTCACAAAAATGCTATTTATGAAGCCACAGAAACGAAAACACTGTTAGCTATATAAACTAGATGGAATCAAGGTTTGTGAGATGTAAAAAAAGGCCTGTTTATGGCACATATGGTACATCTAGTGAGGCCAAAATTAAAGGGTTACTCCAAGCAGTACCCTGACTCCATTTCCTAGTAATGGGGCAAAATGTTTTTCAACAGTTTGTCTACTTACTGGGCGGGTACCGAGGATCCTGTCCTGCTGGTGAGTTGCACTAACCAAAAATAGGTTCCATTTTGTATGTGCAGCATTTACAGACAGACTTCAAAGGGTGATGAATAGCCATGAATTAGCTATGGTAATTTTTTACAACTATATGTTTCCTTTAAGGTCTCACTTGGCAAGTGTGGCTATTGGCTTGGTCTCCTAATCATGGGAAACTTGAGGTACCAGGGCCAGATGGATTGGTAATGGGGTACTCTTGCCCTATTAAATATTAGGATTATTCTACACCCGGCAGTTTAGGAAGTCCAGGAAGGGGTCTGCATTCCCCTACCATGCTTATCCTTTCTTACACCTGTATACATTGGGTAAATGAACAGGGGAGACTGTTTAAATGCATTCCCTGGATAAAGGAACACTCCAAGCACCATAACCACTACTTTATTGCTTGACTTCTTACTTGGGGTGCTCCGGTTGCTACTATCTGCTTTCACTATGTCTGCAAGAGAGCTGGAAGCACCCTCCCTTAACTAAGGCGCCCCCCCGAGCCCCCACACGTGCCCCATGAGTGGGGGCTATCCAACTAAACAGAGGACAAAGG